ACTACTACTACTACTACTACTACTACTAGTACTACTACTACTTTACTACTACTACTACTACTACTACCACTACTACTACTACTGCTACTACTACTACTACTACTATACTTAGTACTAGTACTAGTACTAGTACTAGTAATAGTACTACTACTACTACTACTACTACTACTACTACTACGACGACGACGACGACGACGACGACGACGACGACGACTACTACTACTACTACGACGACGACGACTACTACTACTACTTCTACTACTACTACTACTACTACTACTACTACTACTACTGCATACCACCACCCATCCTCTTCTTCATCGGCATCCTGATCATTATCCTGGACACCACCGTCGGTTTGCTACTACTTATACTTCTCCTCCACCTCCTCCTCCTCCGCCTCCCCCTTCCCATTCTCCACCAACGTCTTTCCTGCTATTGGTCCTCGTCGCCATCCTCCTCTTCAATCCTCACCTGCTACCATCCCTGCTCCCCGCTTTCATGGGCAGGGACGCCTCTGGAGTCAGGTAATACACCATCAGGTTCGGCACGCCCTTGACAAAGGCCGGCCCAGCTGTTGCATCCTGGAAGTTCAGGATCAAGAGAAGGCGCGCCTGACGGCGATCCACCCCTCCTGCCTGCACCTTTCTCTGGTCACGCTCGCAATCTGGGATTACGTCGCGTTGCACAACATGTATCCGGACAGCGCCCCAGATATCCCAGCACTCGAGGCCTCGGGGAGGGGCAGAAGAGAAGCAGCCGTTGTGGACCTCTGAGACCCCGTGCCGATCCAGAACGAGGAGAATGAAGGGCAACGACAAGGGAAACCTGGCTTAGGTCGGGGAGACGTAAGACTCGGGTACGGGGGACTCGGGTTGGCCCGACGGGGCCATCATAAAAACGACGAGGCCCAATCTGCAATCTGACGCGAGCTCCCGCTGCAGACATCCCACGAAAACTGGACCGTCAAAATCCAGGACGCGCTCGTTAAAAAAACCTCGGCAAACCCCCGTGCCGATCCAGAGCGAGGAAAATGAAGGGCAACGATAACTGGCCATCGCTCGGACGTCCATTCCCTCTGTTTTTGTTCGGTTTCGTGCGTGGTTTTTTCGCCAAATGATCAAGGATGCTCGTCGACGGTCCTCGCCCAAGGAAAAATGCACACGTCCGAGCGATGCCAAGATAAGGGAAACCTGGCTTAGGGGTGGGGAAACCTCGATCCGAACTCGGCGATGCGCAGCCGACGGACTGGCGATGGGCCCGCGCTCGAAAAACACCGCACGATCCTGGGCGGTTTGGGCCACCGGGCCTCCTCTCGGCGATCCATGGACGACAAGGGGTCGATACCTCCCCCCCCCAAGTCGGGCATGCTCTCGACAGGCGGCCGCAACGCACTCCTCCTCCTCCTCCTCCTCCTCCTCCTCCTCCTCCTCCTCCTCCTCCTCCGATGCGAGGTTTTAAAAAAGGCACGAAACATCGCCCCCGGCCTGCTTTTAGACTGAAGAGGGACCAGCCCGACTTGAGCCTGCGCTGCTCCAACGTTGCCCCTGAGGGGCCAGGGGCAGATTGGCGCAGACCTCGGGCGCCCCGCCCCGATCAGCGGGGCGAGACGAGGCCGGCGGCCTGCCCGAGGCGAGCCAGAGCGAGCGCGCGCGCCTCCCCTTTTGCTCAGGGGGCGAAGGCGGGGTGTAACATAAACTGTTCCGCCGTCGTCGTGAACGCCTGGCCCCCCAGGCGGCTGAAAGTTTACACTGCGGGGGCGGCCGCAAGAAGCCCTCGCAAGAAGCTCAGCCCTGAAGCCCACGGGCGCGAGATGCAAGTGGGGGGCAACCCAGAGCACCCTGAACGCAGCAGCTCCTTCAGTCAGCGGTCACGGGAAGCCACCGCGCAGCGCGCGGAGCGAAGAAACCCATGGTACCCTATCGAGAAGCAGGCAGTTTCTTGATGCTCGTCCCCACTGTATACCCCTACGGCGGCACCGTACAGACATAAACTGTCCGCCGCCCGGGGGGGCAGGCGCCCACGACGGCGGGAAAGCTTATCTTGTACCGTTCTTCGCCCGCTGACTTGACGTCGCCGCCGCCTGCCGTCGCCGTCGAAGCCCCAACGAGCGCCCGCTCGGAATCGCCCCGCGGGCCCCGTGCCGGGGTCCATCCCGCCCAGCCTTCCATCCCCGATGGGGTCTACACCGACCAGCCATAACTGGGGGAGCTGTGGTCCTTACCCCCCTGGGGGAACCCATCGCGTCGACGATCTCTCGAGAAGGGTGTCGAAATCGATGGGTCCCCCAGGCGGGTAAGGACCACAGCTCCCCCAGTTGTGGCTCGCCTGCTACAAGCGGCCCCGCAGCCCGAGAGCCGGCCCCCCTGCAGGGGCCCCGAGGTCAAAGGAAGAAGCACTCGAGCAAGACAAAAACAGGCAACGACAGCTGATCAGCAAGAGAGGGACCCCTGGCCCTTTGGGAGGGGACCCAAGTTAGGAGGGCCAAAAGCATTGGGGCTGGGGGGTCTTTTCTCTGCAAATGCATCGAACCGAACCACCCAGAGCTATCCGCCGGCCCCCACTGTTACAGTTCTGTTTCTTGCTGCTTACTGTTCCTCGTTGATGAACGCGCGAGGGGGGGGGCCCACACCAGCAGAACTACCACGCCCTGGAATGGTTGTCAGAATTTCTGGGGGGGATAAAAATTGACACCCCTCACACAGATCCGCAGGGTCAGGGTCCAAAAACACATGGGATGTGCCACATTTCTGAAATTCGGTGGCACCCCTCACGCAGATCGGCGGGGTCAGGGTCAAAAAACAGATGGGATGTGCCACATTCCTGAAATTCGGTGGCACCCCTCACGCAGATCGGCGGGGTCAGGGTCCAAATACAAAAGGGATTTGCCGCATGTCTGAAATCCGGTATCACCCCTCACGCAGATCGGCGGGGTGAGGGTCCAAAAACACATGGGATGTGCCACATTCCTGAAATTCGGTAACACCCCTCACGCAGATCGGCGGGGTCAGGGTCCAAAAACATAAGGGATGTGTCACATTACGGGTCAGGGTCCAGAAACACAAGGGATGTGCCACATTTCTGAAATTCGGTGGCACCCCTCACGCAGATCGGCGGGGTCAGGGTCGAAAAACAAACAGGTCCTGACACTGCTTCACGGCGGCGCCCAGACCTCATGATTTAGCTCTTGCATCTCCCATTATCAGAGACAGGGGGCCGGCGGCACGGGGCGAAGCCCTTACGGATTACCCCAAATGTTAAGACGGGGACCTCAGTGAGGCTGCGTCTCCCTCGTGTTATTAGGGTTAGGGGCTCTTGTTTCCTCGGAGGAGGAGGGGGAGGGGGAGGGGGACAAGCTAGGTGCGCTCGCGTCATATCTGACGTCCTACCCCTCCCTCCCATCCCTTACCATGGCGCTGATTTTCTCTATCCGCGGACGCGTGTCGTAGCGGACCTGTGGCTCCGCGCGCGCGTGCGTAGTGGGTGGTGGTGCGCGTGCGTGCGTGCGTGCGTGTGTGCGTGGTTGTGGTGGTGGTGGTGGTGGTGGTGGTGGTGGTGGTGGTGGTGGTGGTGGTGGTGGTGGTGGTGGTGGTGGTGGTGGTGGTCGTGGTGGTGGTGGTGGTGCTGGTGGTGGTGGTGGTGGTGGTGGTTGGGTGGTGGTGGTGGTGTGGTGGTGGTGGTGGTGGGTGGTGGTGGTGGTGGTGGTGGTGGTGGTGGGTGGTGGTGGTGTGGTGGGTGGTGGTGGGTGGGTGGTGGTGGTGGTGGTGGTGGCGGTGCGGCGCGGTGGTGGCGGGCGGATGGGCGCGCGAGAAAGAGGCCCGCGCTGGGGCGAGAACGCCATCCTGAACGACGGAGGCCAAACACCGATCCGAAAATGAGGCCCACGCTGCAGCGGGAGCACGATTCGGAACGATTCGGGAGCAGAAATGAGGCCGGCGCCTCAGCGAGAGCAGCATTTTGAAAAAAAAACGCAGGCGAAAACCCAACTCCCGGGAATCCTGTGTGTAAAAAACAGTACGGGGGGGGGGGGGTCGGCCACTCCCAGCACGCCATCAGGGGAAGAGGGAGAGTAGTATTCATATTGAGTAACTGTGGAGGAGGAGGAGGAGGATGAGGAGGAGGAGGGATGTCATCGTCGGCACAAACCGCCGTCGACGGGGAGCGCGTGCGCCTCCTTGCCGAACCTCGCCACCAGCACCTCCACCAGCTCCGCGGCGCGCAGCAGCTCCTCCGTCGCCGCGGCGCTCCGCACGAAGAGGACGGGGCGCACCCTGAAGGGACAGGGAGCGTCCAGTGGCAAAAGCTCGGCCCGGGATCCTGGAGCCCAGGACGATCGAGATGGGTACGGAGAGGATGGGCACAAAGACCGGCAGGGTTTCCTGTTCCTTTTAGCAGGACTCGTTGTCGGTGTCGACGCGGACGGTCTCCATTTGAGACAAGCGGCCGCCTGCCCAACAGCGGCCGCTGTCGGTGCTGGACGACAGTTCTTGTTGGGCATCGTACCCATTCCTTTCTTACCCATTTCGGGCGTCCCCCTTCTCCTCCTCCTACTCCTCCTCCTCCTCCTCCTCCTCCTCCTCCTCCTCCGCCTCCTCCTCCCCTCCTCCTCCTCTCACCCTCCTCCTCCTCCTCACTCCTCCTCCTCCTCCTCCTCCTCCTCCTCCTCCTCCTCCTCCTCCTCTTCCACCTCCCCCTTCTAATCCTCCTCCCCCTCGTCCTTCGCTTGTCTTCCTCCTCCTCCCCCGACGACGACGACGACGACGACGACGACGACATCGCTTGGGAGGTCTTTGAGCATTTCTGGATGTCCTCGCCGCTATTGCTGAGCGCGTCTCGACAAGCTGTCGAGGCTGGACCCCGGGAGGGGTCTGAGGCTGGGTCTGATCGGATTCTGGACAAGAAGAACCATCGGGGATCTTCTGACCCGGGTCAATCCAGACCCAGGTCAGCCAGGCCTTGCAGGATCCTGCACCCAAACCTGGGTCAATGCAACCCTAGTCCTGCAGGATCCTGCAAGATCTGTCGCTCTGGCTGACCCCCGTTTGCATCGACCCCCGTCTCTTGAGCCCCGGACCATCCCGACCCTCCCCAGGGCAGCCTTGGCCCGCAGGCCAACCTTCCCCCCCAGATGGAGATGTAGCGTCTCCTTGGGACTTCGCGGCGTCCGTCCCCTCCTCGATGGGGGTATGCTGAGCGAGCTGACCCAACCTGCCCCAGAGGGGGCGAGGATGACGGGATGTTACGTGCAGGCAGGCGTACATCTGATACCGACACCCTGGGCGCCATGATCGACGATCGAAGGACGGAAGGTCCGAAGGCCGAGGACCGAGGGCCGATGATGAAGGAGGATCGAGGATGGAAGGTCGAGGACCGAGGATCGAGGATCGAGGACTGAAGGTCGAGGATGGAGGATTGAAGGCCGAGGATTGAAGGTCGAGGATCGATTCTGGGCCTCGGGAGGCGACCAGAAGCCGTCAGAGGACGAAGTCCTCGCTGCGGCGCTGAAGAAAATCAGGAGGAAACCATGCCTCCAACTCCTCCTCCTCCTCCTCCTCCTCCTCCTCCTCCTCCTCCTCCTCCTCCTCGTCCTCCTCCTCCTCCTCCTCCTCCCCCTTCCCCCAGCAGCACCCGCTGTCGTCCAGCAGAAGGAAAAAAGCTCTCTCGTTCGTCGGCGTGCCGCGGCCCAGGCTCGCACGAGCCGTCGACGGAGGGACGCCAGAGCTGGGCTGGAAACTCTGCAGGAGGCCGCATGCGAACCCTACCCCACCACCGCCCTTAGAGAACTCGTGGGGTGGTGGGATAGGGTTCACATGTGGCCTCCTAATCTTGGGTCGGGCATGTCCTCCCACAGACGGACTTCGTAAGAGGAGTTAAGAAAAATAGTCCAAAGATGATCAAAAATGATCAGAGGAGCACGACACCTCGTCACCAGACTATTGCGTTACTATCCTTGCATACTCCTCCTGTAGAGGAACATGCCCGATTTGATCCCAATCTGCTCCTGCCCGTCTTGGGGTATCCGACTCGCGCGAGCAAACGCGGTGACGCCACGCGGTGGGCCAGGCAGGCCGCTGGCGCGACGGCGGCGCGGGAACGCCTGCGCACGGACGCCCCCCGCCGCTCGCCTGGCGTCCAGCTGGTTGAAACGCTCGATGCGGCGCGCGTACTTCTCCCGCATGGCCGGGTCCTCGCAAGATCAGTCGGCATCGAGTCGGGAAGTCGGATCGGAGCGCAACGCCCTGCCTCGGCACAGGATCGACATCGAATCGGATCGGCCACGCCAGGGTGAACAACAGAGCCATGCAGACATCGGGCCGCATCGGATCGCCGGCATATCGAGATCGGATCGGATCGAGCCAGCTGGAACTGACATCGAATCGGATCGATCGGATCGAAATGAAGCCTGCCTCGGGATCGTCGTGCCAGAAGGAGTGGAGCCGATCACGGTACATCACCATGCGGTTGCAGCCGGGCACAGGAAGCTTCGTGACGAAGTCGAAGAAGCCACTGAAATCGCTCCTGATGTAGTGCAGGAGCCCGTCTACGGTCGTCCGGATCCAGTCGAAGGGCAACGTCGCGGCACCCCGGCCCATCTTCTGGAAGGAGAGCTTTGGCCCGCAGTAGCAGCCGAGCGACACCAGGGGTATCGCGTTGGCCTCCTCATCCAGACAATTCTGCCCCTTGGGGTACCTCTGGCATGGGGGACAATTGGCAGACCAAAAAGAGGGTCCCCGTCAGCGGGAACGCCTGTGCGAAAACGGCTGGGAGGTTTCTACCCCACGGCAGCACGTGGCATCACAAACTCTCCAGCCGTCCTGGGACAGGCATCTCCCACCCGCGGAAAAGAATATGCTATACCCCTGTTCGTCCGCGAAGGTAAGCTGCGTGTTCGATCATGGACCCCTCGCCACGCATCCTGGCCTCTGAAGGCCGCCGAGAGACCGCCGAAAACCGCCAGCGGGCGCACGCCCCGCCACAGGCGTTGGGGCCCGACACAGTCTTCGGCGGTCTTTCGGCGGTCTTTCGGCGGCCCTTCGGCGGTCTTCGGCGGTTTTCGACGGTCTTCGGCGGTCTTTCGGCGGTCTTCGGTGGTTTTCGGTGGTCTTTCGGCGGTCTTCGGCGGTCTGGACGGCGGCCCGACACGGTTTTCGGCGGTCTTCGGCGGCCATCGGTGTGAAAGCAGGATATTTCGCGTTAACAAAGGGTCGATGATCGAACACGTAAGGTAAGGGCCCTGAAGGAAACGGGCCCTGGACCCCGAGGGCTTCCCCAAGGGCTGGCGTTTCATTCCGAGCCGTGCTTTGAAGGCCCCCAGGGGCCCAAGATAACGGTCCACTCAGGCCGAAAACTGTCACATTCCTCAGGACGACTCCCCGTCAAAGAGCCCCTCCCAAGCCCCCCAACGTCGTGAACCCGCCACAACAAGTCTCGGGCCCTGCCGCAGGGTCCGGCTTCTCATCTCGATCCGTTCTCTGACTTCCCCAGGGCCCAGCAAGGGCTGGGCCGCCAGTGAGGCCGAAAGTTGCAAATAGAACGTCTGCCGCCGTGACTGCTGTCACGACGCCGAGGGGCCTGGGCTTTCTCCCTACGGCGATGCCTCTCCAGCAGGTCCGACTCCTCAGGGGAGCAAGCTAAAAGCACCCCCGCCCCCATTCCCAGAGGAAGGAGGGCAACTTGGAGATAGGTATACTTGTTGCGACGCTTCTTCGAAGCATCCTCACAGCCAGGCCTCAAAACTCTATGGCCCAGGCCCCAAAAGGAGTAGGGAGGCCAGGAGCCGGTGGGGCTCCGCTTTCCCGCAGGTCCAGACGACGCAGAAAAAATCGAGACGGCGATTTGTGTTAACGTTTTCGGACTCAGGACGCCGTCTGCGGACCACGGGGCCGTCAAGAATCCGCTGTCACTGTCGGCGTGTGTGAGAGGCTTTTCTGTTTGAGTCGCCCTCGCGTCGTCGTCGTCGTCGTCCTCGTCGTCGTCATCGTCCTCCTCCTCGTCGTCGTCTGTCGTCGTCGGCGTCGTGGTCGTCGTCGTCGTCAACCTCCTCCTCCTCCTCCTCCTCCTCCTCCTCCTCCTCCTCCTCTTCCTCCTCCTCCTCCTCCTCCTCCTCCTCCTCCTCCTCCTCCTCCTCCTCCTCGTCGCTCTCGTCGTCGTCGTCCTCGTCGTCGTCGTCCTCGAAATCGTCGTCGTCTTTGTCGTCGTCGTGGTCGTCGTCCTCCTCCTCGGCGTCGTCGTCATCGTCGTCCTCGTCTTCGTCGTCCTCGTCGTCGTCGTGATCGTCGTCGTCCTCCTCCTCCTCCTCCTCCTCGTCGTCCTCGTCGTCATCCTCGTCGTCGTCCTCGTCGTCGTCACCGCCCACCCCTGTCCCTGTCCGTGGGCCCTCCTCGTCAAACGTCGCAGACAAAGAGAAATCGAGCAACGTCGCAATCGAGTCGAAAAGAAGCCCCTTCCCTTTGATCCCTTCCCTGCTGGGTCTAGGGGGGGTCCCCGGGGAGGTCCCAGGGGTGGGTCCCGCGGGTTGGTCCCGGGGGGGGGGGTCCCAGGGCGTCCCGAGGGTTGTGTGGGGGAGCACCCCTCCCTGGGAGGAGCTTTCCCCTTCGATTCCTTGCCTCTCGCACGCCTCGAGCTCCCCCTTCAGTGTCGGGGGCACCAACTGCAAGACCTTCACAATTAACGACTCGGGATGCAGGGCCAGTCCCCAGGAATAGAAGGACCATGAGAGCCCCGGGACGGCCAAACATCGGCCCAAGACGCCCAAGACGGCCTCTCAACGGCCCAAGAGGCCTCCAAGACGTCCTAAGAGAACCACCCAAACACCTGGTCGTGGCCGCGAAAAACTGCGCCGACGTCGAAAGCGGAGGGAGCTCTATGCTTGTGGATGCCATGACAATGGACACTCTAACCATCCTATCATTGAATGAAAGGTGTGATTAAAATGTGTAAAACGTGCTCCGACATGTTTCAAACATGTTGCTTAACATACTTAAAGCATGCTTGAAACAAATTCTTGACATCTGGAAATTATTTGGCAGCATGTTTCCTCTCCGTTAATCGACTTCCACAACTCTATATATGCCGAGCTCCCGCTCGCGCGCGGCTGGCGCCGCGGCGGGCGACGGAGCCCGCGCCTCGGGGGGACAACGGGACACCACCGCCGCTGCTCCCTGGACCGGTGTCGGGCGAAAGGGGGGGATAGCAAAGGCGGGGTTTGAGGATCAGCTCACGTGGCTGATTTTCCCGGCGCCTCCCGGCGCCAGGAGGCGCCCATGCATCGAGGAAAGGGGCCCCTCCCCTCGGCGGGGCCGAAGCCGGCTACATGCAGCAGATTTCGCAACCCCCCTTTCCCAACCCCCCCCTTTCGCCCGACCCGACAGTAATCGACTTCTACAACGCTGTGCCGAGCTCCTGCTCGCGCGCGGCTGGCGCCGCGGCGGGCGACGGAGCCGACGCCTCGGGGGGACAACGGGATACCGATGCCGCTGCTCCCTGGACCTCTCTCGGGGCTGGACAGACTTCCCTTTAGTAAAACGTGGTTTAGTGAAAACGACCTCGGGCCAAAACCTGGCGGGCGCAAGCCTGGAAAATGACGGCCGCGGCGCCATCTCGAGAACCGAAAACGGACAACTCACTAATCGACGTGTCACTGTTGGGGGTTCTGTCCGCCCCCGAACCTCTCATGGGGGGGCTTGTGACCAGCGCTTCAAAAAGCATCCAGCCGTGGCGACGAGGGCCCTCCAGGACGAGCAGCGGCGTCGGCATCCTGGAGATCCGATGCCTTGATCTGTTCCACACGGGGTCCCCACAAATCTCTACCCCTTCCCCGGGCCCGGTTCTTCAGCCTGAATCTGCTTCAGTCGGCCCCGAGGCCCAGCGAGGGCCTGTAGAGGCCGAACACAGCGAAAGACCGCCGCCTTGCATTTTCAACACGCACGCTGGATCCCTGGGTCTCTTCCCCCGAGCGCCGGCGCCGCAGTGGGCGACGCGCCAGGCCGCGAGGCCGCGGGCAGCAGCACGGCATGCGGCGGCCCCGGCGCCGCCAGCGCCAGCCGCACCGGCGCGGCGCCGCCAGCCGAGGGCGAGGGCGCCGCGGGCGCGGCGGCGGCCCTGGCCGAGGGCGAGGGCAGGGCCAGCAGCCGCACGGGCGCCGCGCCCTGGGGGCTCCCGGGGCCCAGCAGGCCGAGGGCCACGGGCGCGCCGGGCAGGGCGCCGTGCGGGCCAGGGGAGGACCAGCGCGCGGGGCGGCCGCGGCGCGCCGCCGCCGTCGGGGGCGCCCGCGGGCGCCGCCGCGCGGGGCGCGGCCGGGCAGGGCGGCGGCGGCCGCTCCTGCGGGCGGTCCCGCGCGCAGAGGGTGCCCGGTGCACCACCGGCGTGCCGAGGTCGATCATCCTCAGAGCTCGCGTCGGCGCCAGGTCCGTGGAGGACCTTGCACACGTCGCAGGCGGCGTCATGATCCATGCCGGTGGGTCTGGACGGGGTGAACACGCATTTGGCTGACACGCGCCCTGAGGATCATCGACGAGGGCCACGGCCGCCACCCCTGGGCGCCGGCAGGGCGCACGACGATGCGCCCAACCCGGCCGGGTCCAGGCTGGGCCTGCACGCCACCCTTTGGGCCCACGCGGTGGCCCCGAGTCAAGCACTCTGCGGTCTCAGTCCTCCGACGTCGTGATTTTTTCGCAACGTGGACTCCCAAAGGTCTAGACCACCTCCCTGGGACCAGTTTCCCATCCCAATCCGTTTCTGTTGCCAGCCGCGGGGCCAGGCGGGGGCTCCCAAAGACCTTCCGCCGTGATCTCTTCACCACCCGACGGGGTTTGGGGCAGCGCGCTGGCGCCCTCCGCGAAGGTCCTCCTGCTTTGCCTCGCGGCCGTGGCCGCCCTCCTCCTCCTCCGAGGAGCCCTCGCCCTCGTCCGCGAGCCGGGCGCCCTCCTCGCCGCCCTTGGCGGGGCGCCTGGCTGGGCCCGTCGTGCAGGCGGCGCCCATTGGAGGGCGGCGGGGGGGGCCTCGCGGGCCAGGGTGGCGGCGGGCGCGACCCGAGAGCACTCGGGCCCAGTGGGCTTCGGCTTTCTGCAGCGCCGCCCTGGTCCTTGCCCTGGTCCTCCACCTCCTCGTGCTCCTACGGTTCCATCTCCTCCTCCTCCTCCTCCTCCTCCTCCTCCTCCTCCTCCTCCTCCTCCTCCTCCTCCTCCTCCTCCGCCCTCCGCCTCCTCCCTCCTCGCCTCCTCCTCCTCCTCCTCCTCCTCCTCCTCCCTCCTCCTCCTCCTCCCCTCCTCCTCCTCCTCCTCTCCCTCTCCTCCTCCTCCCATCCCTCCTCCCTCCCTCTCCCTCCCTCCCTCCCCTCCCTCCCCTCCTCCCCCTCCCTCCCTCCCTCCCTCCCCCTCCCTCCCTCCTTCCCTCTCCCTCCTCCCTCCCCTCCTCCCTCCTCCCTCCTCCCTCCTCCTCCCTTCTCCCCCCCTCCCCCTCCCCCTCCCCCTCCCCCTCGAGAACGGGGGATTGTGGAGTCGCAGGGTTCAAGGCGCGCGCGCGAAGCTTTCGCGCTGAGTTCGCGACTGTTTTCTGTGCAAACTCTGCTCTGTGTCCTCCTCCTCCTCCTCCTCCTCCTCCTCCTCCTCCTCCTCCTCCTCCTCCTCCTCCTCCTCCTCCTCCTCCTCCTCCTCCTCACCCTTACCTTCCTCGAGTTCGCCCGTGCCCCCACCCTCACCCTCACCCTCACCCTCGCCTCTTCACCCTCAACACTACTCGGCCTCGTCCTCTGCCTCCCCTCTGCCGCTGCTCCTGGCCCACCTCCTGCCCCATTCTCCCGCTGTGCGAGCGGGAGGCGCGCGCGGTCGCGCGCGCGGGGGCTGCTCCGCCTTGTCCTTGGCGGGGCGTGGCACCGTGACCAGTCCCCCCATCAGAGGCAGCCGCGTCTCGTGCAAAAGGAGGGGGAGGGGGAAGAGGGAGAAGCAGAGGATGAACACGAATAATCCGAACAGCAATCGCAATAGCACCGCGACTAATATTACGTTATGATCTTAACAACAGCAATAGCAAAAAAAGCTAGTATGCATACTAATAGTAGTAATGAAACTAATAACGAGAACAACAAGAATAATAATAATAATAATAATAAGAAGAAGAAGAAGAAGAAGAAGAAGGGTAATGTTAATATTAATTAATAGTAATGGTAATACTAATAATGATAGTAACCACAACAACAACCATACCAATCATCATAATAGTAATCGCAATAATGACCGTAGTATTGCTACTAGTAAGAATACGTATGGTAATGCTGTCGAATCTAAAATTAACCACCATAACTTTACACATGCTACGAATAATCCTGATAATACGAGCATAGAAATATCTCCGGATAACGAATACGAGTAAGAATAATGGTACCGATCATGATAACAGGAATAATGACAACAACAACAACCACAACAACAATACGAAAAAAAAAGATGAGAACAATACGGATGATAATACTAGCACTGCTCTCTGAAGAAGAAAATACGACTAAAAAGTCGAACCCTGCCAGGGGGCAAGGCGCTCTCTCTGCGGACCACCCGTGGCCAGGGTGGAGGGGGAGAGGCTTCCGAGAGACCGAATCGTACTACGGGGGCCGGTCGAAGTTTAAAGAGGTGTTGCGAAGAAGAAAAGGAGGAAGCAGAAGAAGCAGAAGAAATGTGCATGAGCGGAAGCGGAGGAAAAGACGAAGAAGAAAGGAAGCGGAATAACTGGCAGAGGAGATGTGGAAGCGAGAAGGGGGGAACGTAGCAGCACGACGGGCCGAGAGGCCTCCCTCTCTGAAGGGGCCCACAGACACACACACACACACACAAATAAATACACACAAATAGCAGGAATCCCCATATTTTCCCCATGTTTTCTGGGTTTCGTCTTCCCCCCCACTTCCCATATTTTCCCATACTTTCCTGGGAGTCGACGATTAATTGTGTCTGTGTGTTTTTTCCCCCTCCTCCCTCTCATCATCCGCATCATCCTCCCGCCCCTCCCCTCCCACCCTCCCCCACCGTACCTCTCCACTGCCTGCGAGAGAAGGGTTCACTGGGGCGCCCGGGTTCGCAATCTGAGCGCGGACTCGTGCTCCTGGCATCACGCTCCACGTGCTGACCCCCAAGACCTCCGTACTGAACTTCACGATCTGTGAGTGCAGCCTGGCGAGACAAGAGCGGTGCCCGACCGATGTTCCAGTCACTGGCACAGCACGTCTTCTCTTCGATGGTTTTCGCTCGTCGGACGGCTACGAGGGCCACCAGCTGAGCTACTAGGAGCACCTACCGAACTAGGCACGCCACCAACAGGGCCACGACGCACACCTGCTGAGCGACAGGGGTAAAACAAGCTAGTCTCACGGGGCAACAGGCCGAGCTACGCCGGCCGCAGCCCGAGCTGCGAGGGGCCACCTGCTGGACTGCGACGACCACCCGGTGACCCACGAGGGCCGCAGCCGAAGCCTCCAGGGCAGCAAGCTGTGCGCCGAGGGCCACCGATTCAACTACGAGGGCCGCAAGAGGGGCTGCGAGGGCCACAAAAGCAGAGGCACGGCGGCCACAGGCAGACCCCCGAGAGCCGCCAGAAGAGCTGCCAGAGCCACGAGCTGGACTGCAGGAGCCGCTGGCTCGTCTGCGAGGGCCACGTGCTCCTCTGCGAGGACCTCGGGCAGGGCTACGCGAACCACAGGCCGAGCCACGAGAGCCACAAAGCAGAGTTGCGAGGACCACTAGCTGAGCTGCCAGGGTCACCAGCTGGACTGCGAGTGCCACGACCAGTGCTACTAGGGCCACCAGCTGAGCTACGAGGGTAATCACTCGAGCTACGTAGGCTACGAGGACCACCAGCACCAGTTGAGCTCCGTGTGCTACGAGAGCCACCACCAGAGCTGCGCGAGGGCCACCACCTGAGCTACGAGGGCCACTAGCTAAACTACAAGGGCCACCAGCTGAGCCACGTGGGCCTCCAGACGAGCCACGACGACCACCAGACGAGCTGCGCGGCTCACCAGCAGGGCCCCATGGACCACGGGCTGAGCTACGAGAGCACCCGGCTGAACCACGACAGCTACCAGCACCGTGTCTACCTCACGATCCCCACATGACTACGAAACGTGCCTGTAGAGACGGCGCGCCCTGAACTACAACAAAAACCACTCCGTGTAGAAGTCGTTGTTTCAACCCGGAGGCTGCTACGCTACCTCGTCTACAGCGTTACCGCCAGTGTACGCTATGTACATCGCTACAGGCAAGGCACTACATCATCCGCAACCGCTACGACATCCCTCGAGTGGCCCCGCCGCTCAACCCACTCCGTCCCCCCGTCGTCTGCGGTCTGGCTCGGGACGCAGGTTGGTTTGGCGGCCTCCTCCTCTTCCTCCTCCTCCTCCTCCTCCTCCTCCTCCTCCTCCTCCTTCTCCTCCTCGTCCTCCTCCTCCTCCTCATCCTCCTCCTCCGTCCTCCGAAACGGAAACCAAGTCCTCCGGTGGAACTGGAGGGCCTCCGCGGTCGCGGCGGCGGGCGCCCAGGTGCGGGCGCCACGACGCGGGCGCGGACAAGGGATCGCTGCGCAGCGGTGCGAGAGAGAGAGAGAGGGTGAGGAGGCGACCGACCGACGACGACGACGACGACGACGACGACGACGACGACGACGACGATCGGTCGACTGCCGATGGGCAGCCGAATCTCTTGCCCACTAGGCCGCCCACCGAGAAGGAAGAGAAGTCGCCGTTGGCGCGGCGGCCGCCAGACGGCCTCCCCGCGCGGCGGGCGAGGAGCGTCACGGGAGGGGGAAGAGGTGGAGGAGGAGGATGTGGAAGGGGGGGGGGAGGAGGAGGGGCAGGAGGATGTGGATGCGGAGGAGGAGGAGGAGGAGGAGGAGGGAGGAGGAGGAGGAGGGGAGGAGGAGGAGGAGGGGGAAAGGTGAGGAGGAGGAGGAGGAGGAGGAGAGAGGAGGAGGAAGGGGAGGGGGGAGGAGGAGGAGGAGGAGGAGAGAGGAGGAGGAGGAGGAGGAGGAGGAGGAGGAGGAGGTGAAGGAAGGAGGAGGAGGAGGGGGACGCCAGAAATGGGTACGGGAGAAATGGGCGGTAAGGGGCGGCGGTC